TGGGTGTTCTGTTGTGGGTTTGAAATGGATGAAGGAGAGAGAAGGAAGAAGTGGTGTGTTCTCTGGTGGGTGGAGAGGAAGGAGGAAGAAGATAAGGATTAAGTGGTAGGGAATTTTCGTTTGTTTTTTTTTTTTAATTTTTTTTTTAGAGAAGGGAGTATTTATTTTTGGGTATGCGGCTAACCGAACCAAAACCGATAACCGACCGGTCGGTGGTCGGCTAGCCGTGGTAACCCTCGCGGTCGATCGTCGGCAATAGAAGGTGGTTGCTCGGTTTAACCGATAACCGAGAAATCGGTTTTCGGTTAAACCAAAACCAATCGACTGCTACCCCTACTAACTAGTGACAACGTGAATGCTACACATCATGGAAGAGGGATCTATCACACAATACCATCTAAGCCTATACAACCTCCATATCCAAAATGGTACAAGTCAGAGCAACACTGTGCTTACCACTCAGGAATCGCAGGGCACTCGACTGAGGATTGTCGGTCGCTTAAGATGAAAGTCCAACAAATGATGAACGCCGGCTGGTTGAAGTTCGAAGAAGAGTCAAAGCGTCCAGATGTCAACAATAACCCACTGCCAACTCACGGGAATTAGTAGACATACTACAAGGCAAAGCTCGATTAAGGATGATGTTGGTCCCATCTAGTAAATAAAATATCGAGATAATTTGCCATAGCAAAATATGTATCGCTTTCGCTTTTATCATCATAAATAAAAGGTCCCTCACGTTTCGACCTCTTTGGATCATTGTGTGAATGGTATCAATCTTAACTTAAGAATTTGCATCAAGTTTTTTATCAAAATAATGAATGCCACTTCATGCTCTCTTTAAAATGGATTTATCTGCTACTAAAGTGAAAGCCATCAAAATCCAAATCCAATTTTATTTTCAAGTTAAGCCATGAGATTGCTATGATAAGCAATTATGAACACCCCACTGGTGTTGAGATTTGGGACACTCCACTGGTGTCGAGCGATTATAAACACCATGCTACCATCGATAAATTTAGCATCCACTAGTGTTGAGAGCGTACGTGTTTTGCTAAAATCGAGAGATAAACACCCTACTGGTGTCCATGAATCGTGTGAGCTAATAGTCAAAAGGTGTAATGAGTATACGACATCATGCTACTTGTAGAATTTCGTCACCACTATAGTCGACTCTTGCCAACAAATTGAGACTCAGTTTACAAGAAGTCAAATAGTCAAATCCAGATTCTCAGGGAGCCTAACATTAGTATCAGACCGAGAAAACCCTCACAAATGTCTCGTGGCAAGAAGACTGGGAAGTTCAGGGATCCCGTTTATCAAAACCCAAGAATCACACGAGTGAAGCACTCATCTATACAAACAAGCGCATGGTATCAAAATCCTCACTTCTACAAAAAGAACAGTCAACTTAGCTCACGAGAAGTGACACCCACACGATCAATCATCAAAATGGACTCTCGATCCTTTCAATACTCGTCCCACCAAAGACAAGCGCCAGATTAAGGATGAAAGAAGCATAGATGGGGGCATGACAGAGTCAAGTAAGTCCCACACGCCCAAAAAAAAAAGAGAGCGAAAAGCAAAAAAAAAAAAAACAAAAAAAGAGACAGAAGATAACAAACAAAATATCGTGGGACTTACAATCTGGGTGCCCCCGGTTTAGCATTTGAAGTACCAACTATCTGTACCAAGCCAAGATCTTTGCCGATCAACCTCAAGATACGGCAATGAGGATCTTCAAACAAGAAACTTCCATGATAAGAAAATCGTCATAGCCAAAACCACATCATCCAAGGTACTCATCATTTTGAGAGGAAGCCAGAAGCTGAAAATCCACGACGTTCAACATTTAGTGGCCAAACAAGTATCTCGACAAGTCCTAAGCCAGATTGCACTCACTAATGAAAAATACTGGGGGCCAAACCCAGTTGAAGATACATTCCCAGCAAAATTCACCAATATTTTCGAACAAGACTTTGTCGGCCAAAAGATCCAGATAATAAGCCAATCCCATACTTTGGGGGCAAAGCCAAAATCCCTCTACAAGAAGCTTTATACAGATATTGTCGATAAATTATACTTCAAGAACAAGGAGACTCGTATCCTCAAAGTCATGTCGAACAAAAGCCCTTTTCATTGGAAGTGAAGACCGTCTACGACAACGCCATATGGAAGTCTCCTAAATCAATTACATCAAGGTCTCCCATATCGAATAAATCTTCACAAGGAACACTGTTGGCCAACAACATAAAAGGAGACATTTTAAGGTGACCAGAATCTTAATGGTAGCTGAAGTGTCGTACACTCAAATCACCTATAGGAATGAGTGAGAGCGAAATCGGAAGTGGGAGCGAAAGTGAGCAAAATCAAAAGTAAGAGTGAGAGCGAGGGCTTACTGATATTCCCATGGCTTGGCTTACACTTCTCTTATTAAAAAGAAAACAAAATTTGGCAACATGACAACTACCACACAAAAACGGTTTTCTCCAGTTTGCACACACTTCTCGAAACCAAAGTCTTGACATGGCTTTCAATTTTAATTCTCTAATAAACGTTTTTCAAACATTTTTGCTTTCGTCTTAAGTCAAGATTGATATAGTCACTCTTTGCTCCGGAGAATAGAAAGTGAGTAACGGATCTTCGGGGGCAAAAATGGCGCAGCATGGAAGAAGGGGAAGTCTGAATACCCAAGAATCGAAAATCAACTTTTCACTCATGAGTTGATGAAGAAATCTCAAGGAGTTAGGGAGCATTCAATCTCATTAAACCAACCAGCAAACCTACTATCCTTCAACTTCATGGCCAGAAAGAGGAGGAACCAACATACTGCACATACCAAGAGATACACAACTGTAAAACATGTGGGCCCAAGCCTAGCCGACAAGAAGAATGAAACAATATACACCACCGGCTCACCCCACAAAGTATACCTCGTACAACTACCACCGCGAAGATAAGTTTCAAGCGAGCAAGCTGAAAGTCACTCCAACATAAACATGACCTAAGGATCAAGTCGATCAAAAGGAAATGACGATTCCTGGAGGATGAGCAATTTAAAGGAACCCCGGGTTAAAATTCAAAACAAAAACTAAACAAAACGACATATTCTCATAACAGTTGCCAAATGCATCATATCATTTTTTTCACTGAGTATTCATGACTTCATTAGCATGACACATCACACAATCATTCTCAAAATCATTTTGAAACTCCTTAAAAGATAACATCACATATTAAAATGGATCATGCATTCATTGACTACAATTCTCAAAAACTCATACATTTAACTAGATTTCAAATGCCTGTCAAATCGTGCCACATACAACAATTACATACACAAAATTTCTTCAAGCTACCAAGTGCATTTCACATACAATTATGGCAATGCATAACATCCATTTAGGTTTGTCCTAAACGGATACCATAACACAAATTACATCGGTGCTGGCAAGCGCCTGAAAAATATGACACCAACGCTGATGAGCGTTTGAAAAATACATCGGTGCTGGCGAGCGCCTGAAAAATACGACACCAACGCTGATGAGCGTTTAAAAAATACATTGGTGCTGGCAAGCGCCTGAAAAATATGACAACAACGCTGATGAGCGTTTGAAGAATACATTGGTGCTGGCGAGCGCCTGAAAAATAAGACACCAACGCAGATGAGCGTTTGAAAAATATATCAGTGCTGGCGAGCGCCTGAAAAATACGACAACAACGCTGATGAGCGTTTGAAGAATACATTGGTGCTGGCGAGCGCCTGAAAAATACGACACCAACGCTGATGAGCGTTTGAAAAATATATCAGTGCTGACGAGCGCCTAAAAAATACGACAACAACGCTGATGAGCGTTTGAAAAATACATCGGTGCTGGCGAGCGCCTGAAAAATACGACAACAACGCTGATGAGCGTTTGAAGAATACATTGGTGCTGGCGAGCGCCTGAAAAATACGACACCAACGCGGATGAGCGTTTGAAAAATACATCGGTGCTGGCGAGCGCCTGAAAAATACGACAACAACGCTGATGAGCGTTTGAAAAATACATCGGTGCTGGCGAGCGCCTGAAAAATACGACAACAACGCTGATGAGCGTTTGAAGAATACATTGGTGCTGGAGAGCGCCTGAAAAATACGACACCAACGCTGATGAGCGTTTGAAAAATATATCAGTGCTGGCGAGCGCCTGAAAAATACGACAACAACGCTGATGAACGTTTGAAGAATACATTGGTGCTGGCGAGCGCCTGAAAAATACGACACCAACGCTGATGAGAGTTTGAAAAATATATCAGTGCTGACGAGCGCCTAAAAAATACGACAACAACGCTGATGAGCGTTTGCAAAATACATCGGTGCTGGCGAGCGCCTGAAAAATACGACAACAACGCTGATGACCGTTTGAAGAATACATCGGTGCTGGCGAGCGCTTGAAAAATACGACACTAACATTGATGAGCATTTGAAAAGTATATCGGTGCTAGCGAGCGCCTGAAAAATACGACAACGACGCTGACGAACGTTTGAGAACTACATCGGTGCTAGCGAGCGCTTGAAAAATACGACAACGACTCTGATGAGTGTTCGAAAATATAGCAGTTACCTTTCATATTAAGTAGAACAACAAATTCTACGCTTCAATATCACACACAAACACACAACTCAGTTCTAACTACATCGTCGAAGTTACTTTTGAAAAATGTGGTGTCTTTATAGAAACTTTGTATAACTCTTTATACAAAGTGATATACAAAGGGGGGCAACTGTAGACACCACATTTTGTCCGGGATAATTGTTTTACTGAAAATAATTATTTTAACGTCGTACTACGATAATATTTAAAAAGGAAGCTGAAGATAGTTTGGTTGAGACTAGCAGTTGCAAGTCAATATGAACCAATAATTATCAAATTTGCTCCTAGTCGATTTTAGGGCATAATTAGTTAAGATAGGATCAATTTGATTATGATTAGCAATGACAAGTCTTGAACACCAAATAATTAACTGAGATCACAAGATCGAACTAATTGAGATAATAAGATTAGCAGTGGCAAATCTTAAACATCATTTCTAAAAATAATAGAGGTGCAAAGCTTGAGGTTAGAACATGGGCGTAATAGATGAAATGGAGGCGGAAGCTTTATAGTTAAATTTGACACATGGTACAAAGTATGAACTAAAACTAATTACAATGACTGCCTGTTACTAATAACAACAACAAAATTTGAAGTTTGAACACCATTTCAAACTGGGCCGACTCATCAATTAAAGTCATTGGGCTCCTTTTCTCCTCTCTTTGAGCCCAGACCAGATCACAAACCTACAAAATGAAAAAGAAAATGATCAGAGTACAACCCAAAACAGAGCCCAGGTTCAAGCCGAGTACCGGCCCAAACGAATTCAAGGCCCAACTCGGCCCAATCTTATCCAAGCAGTTAGTCAGCACCGACTTTCATAGGTGGAGGCTTGACAAGCAGCCTTGAGGATCAACCAATCAGAGAGAAGCATGTCATGCTCATCATCAATCACAGACTAAGCAAGGTGGAGGCCTCAGATGCAGCCTTGAGGATCAACCAATCAGAGAGAGGCATGTCATGCTCATCATCAATCGCAGCATGACACGTGGCGCGCAATTCTTTCTACAAATGAGCTCTTTGGGCTCCGTGTTGAAGGGGGAGCTGGGGGGGGGGGGGAAATATCGATAGTGACAAAAAAATACTTTTCCTTTCTCTTTTGAAAATTTCCATGTTCAAGGCTGTAATAGTGGACGAACGAGAATTCATATCCAAAGTTGACTATCAGGTCGGTGCTTGTAAACCCTAAACTTCTCTATTATTAATGATATAGCATTTCTCAAGAAGTTCTTGTCGAATCCAATTCTTGTTCTCATTTAGTAGAATTTTGTTTTATTTAAGCTATTTCCTTAAAAGCTTATTACTTACAGCCATTTACTGCTATGCGTTTCCCTTAAGCACTTCACTATTCGGATTAAGCTCATTTCAATTAAGTATTTGATTTTCTTATTTCAAGAATTTCTATGCTGCTTTAAATTCCCGTCATGCTTTCAGATTCTTTTTTAGAAGATAGTAGACAAACATTAGAATCCAATCCAAATTCGAAGCAGCTCTGCTAAAATAGGCTAAATCCATTTTTTCTAGAAGTTCTTGGTTCTGGTCTAGAGCCAGATCCAACGATCACCATACCTCACTAAAATTTCAGATCCATAAATCCTTGCCCGTTTTCAAATCACCCAACAATTCTAATCTAATAAAAACCACAAGCAGTAGCAGTGATTTAGTCCATAGTCTAGCAAAATCACTAACAGTGGCAATCGCTAAGATAAGCAATTTAGAGCATGTTAATTACATCTCCATCACAGAAAAATCATTTACGCCAATTTCTAGTATATCAAAAGCTACATAAAAAACCATCGAAAAACCCATAAAATCCCAATCAAGCCAATAACAATAAGATTAGTAAAAACTTTATTTTCTTTTAGCTTAATGACCAGCAGTGGTGATCTTTGGTTAGCTTCTAATTCTTTAACTACCTTAATTCTTTAGTAGTTTGATTCATAGAGTAAAATATCCGAAGGCAATAACAACCTATTTCCTAAAAATAAGATCTGTAAATCATTTCCTAGCTCACTAAAATCACCATTCTTGCCAAGAAACCAGATTCGTAGATAATGAAAGATCTGCAGACTCACAAATCTAAACCAGCGAAACCTTTTTTTCTCCCTACCATAAACTCGGATCTACAAACAAACTAAATTTTTTTCTAGTTTAACCTTCCTAGTTAAACCAATCAGAGTTATGAGACCTCACCTAAATCTCTAGGTATTCGAAATCTGCAAAAGGAAAAAAATAGAATTAGAACCCAGCGTAAGTAAATATTCAAACAAGAACAAGAAGGAAAAAATTACACCCACCAAGAGAGAGTCCGCCCCTGCGCCGGCGGCAGATTTTCTTCCCGGCGGCGGCAACTGCTCCGACGGCTGCAGCTGTCTCCTACCTGCTTCTTTTCCCTTCGTCCAAAACCAATCCTCAAAGAGCCACAAGGAAACAAAAGAAAATTAGCCGAATCCCAATAAAAATCACCTAAAAACAAAACGAAAAGACCATGCATGTCTCGATCTTACCTATATTGAAACCCTCTCGGTTGATTTAGTACGGAACGAGCGGACTCCTTAGCTAGCCGAGAGCACAGAGAACAGAGTATAGAATCAAGAGTGGGAGAGGGCGATTGTTCTTCGTTTTTTTTTTTTTTTTGTGGTTTTCGGTTTACTTTGGAGGAAACGAGAAGAGAGAGAGGCGAGGCGAGGTGAGGCGAGAAGGCGGCGGGTTAGGGTTTCTGGTTGGTTCTGGAGAAGACGAGAGAATCGGCCGAGAGAGAGAGGGAGAGTGGAGGCAGCCGCCTCTGTTTAGGATGGATTAGGGTTTCATTGAGAGGATTATATACCATTATGTTTAAAACGACGATTTTACCCTTAGGGTTTCCTTAAAATTGCGACTCCTTGCCACCGCGTTTTCAAGAAAGTACAAAAATGCCCTTCCCTGTGTTGAAAAACGAAAATTATTAGAGGAAGGCTGAGGTATCAAATCCGCTACCTTCTCCTGAGAAACTCTGTCCAGCTACTTAACCAATTGGGCTGCTGGTCCATCTGGTGTAAGTTTAATCAATCAGTTTCTTTTTATTATTTAATATCCTTAATACGAAATTTCAGATGCGGATTAAGTTAATCCTGTTTCTTTTCTAATACACCAAGTATCTTCCTAACAACTAAAATTATTATGTTTCTCTTAACAACCTCATAAAAACCTATTCAAATTTTATTAACAAAATTCTTAATGCGAGAATCACGATCAGTGGAACGTGGTTACAACTAAATCATCAAAGTCACCAACGAACTACGTGGACTTTGATCCCGTCTAACGGGTACGTAGGCAACCGATAAGGTTCGAGTCCAACTAACCAATTAACTTTATTTTTCAATTGTACGTCAGTGGACATATAAAATCATAAATTAATACGATAAAACTCTTTAGCGGTCCAGTGGGACCCTACAAATATCAATAATTATTAAAAACACCCAACTCATATAAACTTATCAAACTTAAGTAGTACCGATTTAGGGCGTTGTGGGGTGTTGCTTAACTTCCCCACACGTAAACGTACTCCCGAACCCATATCTCTTAATCGCAGACCAATTCTCGGTTCTGGCCCTAAGGTTAGAGCCGACCGACGAGTGTTCGATCCACTCCAAGTAAGATCGATGGCGACTCCCAAAAATGCCGACGCGACGACATCGGACCCCCCGGAGGGACGGTTGCGACAGGGGGAACCATATCCGGGTGACCTCTCTCGACTTGAAAACAACCGTTTAACTTGCTTTGTTTGTTTGTTAATTTGAACTTGCACTAAAGTTTCACTGCTAGATAACAAGAATTCACCGAGTAGTCATCAAATCTAGGACCCGGGTTGACATTAAAACCCAAACCCGTTATACTACGCTTTAGGAAGTGGTTACACTTGGCCAATTTCTAGAGTGACAGTAGGAGTGAGTCAAAGTTCTTAAGCAAGGGAAGAGTCACTCGGGATTGAGTCCCCCTAGCTCCTTAGTTAGGTCCAAGTTGTAATTTCCTTTGGTCGATTTATTGTTGATTAAACTGCGGAAGATCCGACAGTAGCTTGGAATCTCTTAAGCTGACCAAGCCCTCTTAGACAGACTAACCAGCAGACGACTAGTCTTCACCAGGATAGAATGCAAAGGCAATTAACACAGAACTCCACTACTGGAAACAGATTCCAGTACAAAATAGTGAATTGACTGACTCTCGTACAATCAATTCCCTCTTATCGATTGAAGAAGCTCTAACAACCTAATCAGATTCTATCTATCTCAGGTTGCAGCAGAAATCAAAAGAAGTTGATCAGGATTCAATTGACTCAATAAACACACTTCAATCGACTGAAATCAATCAGTATATAAATCCAAAAGTCATTACAATCAAGATCCCTAACACATGGAACTAGGGTTCTTCATACCCAAATGACAGAAAGATCTACTCCATAGAGAGAGAGAGAGAGAGAGAGAAAATCAGAAATCAAAGCAGCCATACTCATAACGATGGGAATAATCTGCTCTAGGATGTCAATCTTCACTCCTGGGGATGCAATCTGTGCTTCAATAATGAGAAATCCACTCCAAAATAGCTCCTAGGGTTTGTTCTTCGTACTTTCTCTCTGTAGAACTCTTTTTTTGCTCGAAAAGGTCGAATCCCCTTACTTTGGCTCGAATATGCCTCTTTCAACTCGATTCTGGGCGAATTACGTGCAGAAAATACAGGCAAGTCTGGGTGAAGCACTGCAGTAATTTCCTAAGCACGGTCGTGCTTTTCTCCTCGATTGCCCATATTTTGTCTTTCTTTAGTATCCTTTTGGTTTGCTCTCGTCTGTAAAAAGTAAAAACGGCCAGGCTGATGAAAAGCACGGTCGTGCTTTTATAGGGAACAACCGTGCTTTTGTCCCACAACCGTCAAATGATCTCCAAACGACCCGAAACTTTTGCCTAAGCCTTCGTACATCCATTAGGACCTGAAATATGACAAAATAGTACAACCTAGCGTAAAATAGGCCAAGGAGCAACAAAATTGAGCCAAAATTGTTAAGAAATAAGGGTCCAAACATGACGTTATCAGTGTTGGAACAAAAGGAGGAATGGGAGTGGTGGTTGGTGGTGAACGGGAAAGAGGATTGGAAGCATCAGCTTTGAAAGGTAAAATGGTTTCATGGAAGGAGACATCTCGAGAGATGAACACTCTCCTTTCATGTATATCTAGGACTTTGTAGCCCTTAATCCCAGCTGGGATTCCTAAAAAAAACACATTGCCTTGCCCGAGGGGCAAACTTGGTTCGACCATGAGCTAAAGTGTTGGCATAGCATAAGCTGCCAAACACTTTCAAATATTCCAGAAATGGAACTTGGTTAAACAAGACTTCATAGGGTGTCATTTTATCAAGAAGAGGAGTAGGAATCCTGTTGATGAGATACACTGCATGGAGTATGATATCACTCCATTAGAGAAGAGGCAAACCAGATTGAAACCTTAAACATCTAGCTACATTAAGAATGTGTTGATGCTTTCTCTCCACCCTACCATTCTATTTTGGTGTCTCGACTCAAGAACCCTAGTGTTCTATCCCCTCTGCTGCAAAGAATTCACACATCTCAATTTCATTACCCTTATCTGTCCTGATGATTTTAACAGTGGTATTAAACTGGTTTTTCAGCAAATTGCATAAACCTTGTATCAACCCCCTAACTTCACTCTTATGTTCATCAAATAAACCCAAACACTTCTAGAACAATCATCCGCAATAGTAAGGAAGTAGCTATAAACATCATAAGAAACAATGGACAAAGGTCCCCCAAATATCCATATGCATTAAATGAAATATCTCAGATGCAACACTGGGGCTAATGGGAAATGGCAACTTTCTCTATTTAGGCAAGTGACAGACTTCACAATGGGAAATTTTGGTACTGGTTACAGAAGGAATAACATTGCTAAGAAGGGAAATTCTATCATGACTAGGATGCCCTAATCTCCAGTTCCACAGGTTTAAGGCATGTGGATTGAAGTTGAAGGTAAGAGCTGCTTGGTATTGCTGATGAGGTGGTGTAGTAGGCTTAGTGATGTCTGGTAGCAAAGGTTGGCCTAGTTGATAAAGGCCTCTAGTGGTGTGGGCTAAGCCAATCATCTTCTGGCTTATGAGGTCATGAATTTCACATTTATCAGAGTGGAAATGTAATGAAAAAGGATTGTCATGTGTGAGTTTACTGACAGAGTTGAGATTAAAAGAGAAATTAGGCACTAGGAGAACATCAAGAAGTGTTAAACCACATGATAATGGAACTTTGCCTACATAAGTGACTAAAACCTTATTTCTGTTGGGGAGATAGACATAGGTATCATGCACAGGCCTATAGCTACAGAAGGATATGAGGCTACATGCAATATGGTCAGAGGCTCCTGCGTCTATTATCCATAAGCTTAAATCATTGGTTCTAGACTTGTGAGAAAAGGACATGACATAGTTACCTGAAAAGTTTGGGTAAGTGGGTGGAAACTGAGTGGCAGAGTAGGCTTGGTGGTTAATGGAATGTGAGTTTGGCGGTGAATGATGGGTATTAGCACCGAGTTCGCCCATTCATTTATTCCTTGGACTTGAGTTCTATGCATGGTTAGTTGTGGTTGATGAGTAGTCCAGTCGAGACTTGTATAGATTTGTGAATAGGGTGAGAACTTTTCATTTGCACATTCTTAATGCATTCGAATGTCGTTTGTGGTGGGTGTCGGTATTGCTTGTGACGGTTAATTTGTTGATGCCAAATAAAGATTGAGATTCATCCATTGTGTGCCCTTTGATTGGTCCCCAAGCTTTTTTTGTGGGGTTGAAATATTACCTTGTTCGAGATTGTTTTGCTTGGGGACAAGCAAACGTTCAAGTGCGGGGGAGTGATTCGGGTCCAATTGTACACACTTTACCCCTCATTTCTTGATGGTTTGGCTTTGCATTTCATCGTCCCGCGACATATTTCACGCTAGGTTGTGCTTGTTTTGATACATTTTAGGTTCTAGCACCTGTGGAAGGGTCGAGGGCGATTAGAGGGCGAACAACGCAAAAACCGAAGAAAATTCCAAAGTCACCGTGACAATTGGCCCTTAACAGTGAAGCGCAAGCGTCCAGAAAATAGCTGCAGTTCACAGTCTGGCATTGGAGTTCACGGTCTCCTAAGGTCGTGAACTGGAACCACAAACCGTGAACATCGAGGCGTCCATCGAGGTTCCAGAGGTTACTGACGCCAAGGGAGTTCATGGTCTCTAAGACCGTGAACTTTGAGCACAAATCGTGAACCCCAGAGAGTGAAACGGTGCGTTTTGGAGACGACACTGAGTTTACGGACACGTTTAGGCGTTCACGACCGTGAACTCAGCTCGATCTGGGTTTAAATGAGATCTGAAAGGAAGAAGAAAGAAGAGCTTCATTTTTAGGTTTGGTTTTCATTTTTCAGAATAAAGAGGATTCTAGTGAGAGGTTACATACCATTTGGTATAAATGAATTCCATAAGTTTTAACGAATTCATTTTGAAATGAAATTTTTTTGTGTTTGGTATTTAAAAGAATTCATTCTCAATTCTAAATTATGAATTATGCGGAATTGGAACTAGTTATAGCAATTTCGAGGAATTGAGATGGAATTTGCAAATGAATTCCACAAGTATTTACTAATTATAATAGAATGACATAATTATCCTCATTTATTAACTATATTACTTCTACATATATTATTTGCCGCGGATTGATGCAGTATGAGTAGCGTCACCAAGAATTTGATTGCAATGCTAGACGTCACCAAGAATTTGATTGTAATGCCAGTAA